ATAAGTTAAGAATATGTTTCACACAAACTAACTGATACACACATCCATATATAGAGTTTATGATTTAGCAAGGCATGCCGGGTTCTTAGTTCTGCATGAGTGCACACATTTACATACATATGAATATATGCATACTTAGCACACTGACTTGCTTGGCCAGCAGTTACGCCAAGTCCGCCACAAACACAAATATTCGCCAACAAACCACACTGCCAAATACAGGAATTCATAACAGCCCAGCTTTGCCCCACACATACAGACATATATCTATATGTATATATAATGTGACCAACTATTTCATAGCTAAAATAAGTACAGCTTAGGTTGGGTAAAGTTAACGCTGCGAGACGATTACGAAACCTCGAATGCGGCTAATTTCGATCCCTGAGTGGACAGCGCTTGTTCAGGAATGCGAGCCAAAATGTCTCCATCTTAGCCTCGCGAAGGTTGGACAGTCTAAAAGAAAGTATGGGGATGATTCCACTTCATCTTCCTCTTGACAGCTGATACAAAAAGAATCAGTTGAAATTGCTAGTATCACCGCATGAAAACCAATCGCACAATGGCCTGTTAGAACCCCCATCACTAGCCCTTGAGAGGTAATGTGCGCCGTGTTCAGCATATGTATGTTAAGCGCCAGTGTACGTGTGGTTCCTAATGCTCCAATAATTCCTGTGTTACAAGTATAGCCCTCTCTAGTGAGTTCCACCAGACAAGGGCTTGTTGAAATATGTTGAATATAGGCTTAAATCTGGTTTCCTAGAGCTAATGAATTAATTTGGGCGAGAGACCTCACTTTTTACTGATTGCTCCCCTACATAAGTACAAGGTAACTGACAACTTTCCTACCCTTTCCTCAATGTCAGGCTTCCGCGACAGCCGTCATTGATCGCCCACCTAGTTGCCTGGTTCAGGTCACCTTGAGCCAGATCAAAACGGGTGTATAGAAATCTTGCCTTAACTAAAAGTTCCACCTCATCTAAATAGGCAATCACCCGACAGCCCAGAAGGACGTTTGTTTACAACCGCAATCCAGAGCAGGTGAGAGTGGAGTGCTCCTCTTGACTCTTCACTGAGTGCAGACGTTCCCCTACTCCGCCGCGACAGTTCTGTCACGAAGTAAGCTGTAGGTAAGCCTTATTAGGTTGGTTTCAACCCGCAGATAATGAATATACTTGACTATTGCCTCTGGAGTGACATTGTTGAAGGCCCCCTTGATATCGAAGAAGGCCCCTACTGCATAATCTTCATGCGTGCAGGCTTCCTCTGACCACTTTACCAATGTGTGCAGCAATTGAGCTCTTGAAAGACAGTCACGAGGAATCGTGTTTCTTATAACAGGTCTTTCAGTCTCTCTCGCGTTTTTGGAAAAAACGAAGAGACCGATAGGCCCAAAAATCCTACGGGAAATATGAGAGCCTTTTTCGGAGTTCGGGATGAACGCCACACTGACTACCCTCCAAGCCTTGGTGATGTACCCGGTCCTCATGCAGTTCGCATAAATAGGATACAACCAATTGCACGACACTTTCAGAGCCCTTTGCAGCTACACAGCTATGATGCCATCGGTCCCCGGCGACTTAAATTGTTTGAACAAATTTATCGCCCAGGCCATGTGACAATCGTCCAGATGATCGGAGAAGTACAGGACCTGGGGTTAGATACTGTAACCAGTTGGCGACAATTTTCGAATCTCTATCACACTTTTTGACGAAAAAATATTTGTATATCATGCGTCAAAAAGTACGATAGCGATCCGAAAATTGTCTCTAACTGGTTACAGAATCTCTCTCCTGAAGTAAAAAATACCGTAAAGAAGTACATTTGACTGTACTTCGAAGTACAAAGTACAAGAGCGAAAAAATAAGTAATGTACTTCCGAAAAAAGTACGGTTGGCCACATTATGTATATACGCACATACATATGTACATATGTTCACCATATCTCTCACGTGCCAGCGATAGTAACTAGGTGGTCAATAACGTTTTCAAAAGTGAGTGTGTGTTATGCCGAGTGGGAGTGGACGTGCGCTGGGTACTCATTACGGTCGTATATTTGTTTGCCGCACACAGGCGCTACTGATTTAAGATACGTCACGCTCTGTTGTGCGGTTCCTATTTTATGTTTAGATGCGTATGCATGAATGTAACTGTATCCTGCGCACACACACAATTTATCGGAAGAGGTTAATGCATCTCGCCTCTCGTTTTATGCTTGCCAGATTTCAAGACACAAGTGGCATGATTTTGTATGTTGGCTTATCGTTTCATAGTTCATGATATCGTTTGTGCGTTAACGTCACACCGCTTGCGTGAGAGTTTGTTTGAACTTTGAGCTGTTTGTACGCTTTCGCACTAGCTCATTAGGTTAGTGAAACCTTTCACTTTGCATTTAAATTTAAATACATTTTTAGGTGTTTAAATCCTTTTTTTTATAGTAGGCCTAGTATTCCTACTTTTGAAATATAATTTCTTTAACTATCGGTACAGAGGCCAAAAAGGGCAGCACCGCTCATGTGAAACCGAAAGATTTCAGGCATATAAGCCTAACTTAATTCTTTCTGAGAACTCTAGAGAGGCTTATTGATAAATATATTCTGCGGAATATAAAAAATTAAAATCTCTCCTCGAACCAGCGGTGATATTCCAATGGAAAATCCTTCACGAAGAAATGCCCGCTGAGAGTTTATGAAGGGATCCTTCAACAATTTCTATTCGGAGTCTGTTGTTAATTCTCTTCTTAGGGTGCGGTGCTGTGGAAAATGGTGAACTTTCTTGGCCTCCTTCTCGAAAGGAGAACTATTCTATCAAAACTCGGGAATGGCCCCATACCTGAACATGTAACCAGAGGCACTCCCCAAGGGAGCGTTATCTCCGCTCTACTCTGAAATCTAACTCTATTTCTAATCCAAAAGAGCACTGGTTGCCAGGTCGTAGCTTATGACGTAGAAATCGTAGCAAAAGGTAAACAACTGCAGGTTCAGAGTAAGCTATTGAAAAATGTACTCAGTCTTGTAAACATCTGGTTCAAGGAATGTGGATTTAGCGCCAATCCTACAAAGACCGAGATGGTATTCATCACGAGGAAGTACAATTTTAATCCATTCACCTTATGCAGGGTGGAACTTATTCTCTCAACTGAGGTCACATACCTGCGAATCATTCTAGACAGGAAAGGTGACTAGAAGCAAAACATCGAAGACTGCTCCAGGAAGGCCAATTGTTTATGCCTATAACGCGGTTATAAGCAAAAAATGGGCAATAAAACCTCATATAGAATATATCTGGAAATTATATTAAATCTTACGCCTGTGGATCTCTACGGCAAATTTCTGGCCAACTATAGTGCGGCCAGCTTTATACTGTTTTTCCTAGCAGAAATACGCTCGAGGGTTTGTCATTGCCGGCCGAAGGGCGCCCACTATTAGAAAAAAAATAGTTTTTCCTCATGATTTGCCTCTGGGATACAGAAAAAAGATAGACTTTATGGGTTTTTTGAACATGCTCAACTTCTCTCCTTATTTCAACACTTGTGATATTAATTTATTTATTTAATTAGTTTAAAATGTCATTATTAAAAAACAACTTCTAGAAAAACCATTGAGGTTTTCAAAAGATTATTTGTTTCCATAATTTGCGCTATTTATGCCCATCTCTGTATTTGGGCCAGCGACGAAATGTGATAACCTCTCTTCTCTCAAAGTTGCGCCATTTATTTGCCGCACGTATAGACATAGAATACCTACTTTCGCACGTGATTGTTCCTGTGCCGTGGCCTTAATGTTATTGTCCAGTTGCCCACCAATGCGGACCGGGTCAGTTGAATTTTTTACCGAAGCGTCGAAACTTTGAAATGTATTTAAAAATATATGTCTGAAAAACTTTAAAGGTCTGCTAACCCTCTGAGAACCATAAAAAAGATAAATATTCGCACTTACGAATTTGTTGGTGCTTTGCCTCCGATGTATAGTATACGCCTTGACGTTGTCACATAATGGAAAATTAGTCCCGAATATTTTTTCTAAAATTCTGTAAAAAGTTAAAGTAAAAATTTGGCAATTTTGTATTTTTTTTTTTAAAGAACAAAAAAAAATTGATTTTATGCAAACAGTTTTTCTTGGGTAGTATGTTTGCTCAACAAATTATTTTTTCCAAAACCCACATAAAAATATAGATACATAAGCTCTGAAAAAATTATTTCTTAAAAAAAAAAATCAAAAAATCACACAGGTTTACCAAAAAAAAAGTCTGCATATTGAATCAAACCTATACATCTCTACGTTATTCGACGCGCTGAATGCGAATCCGAAGTCTCTTAGCATTCGTCACGTCAGGTTCGAGGTCATTTGAAGGTCAAATAGGGAAAAATTCATTAAATAAACCTGAAAATGTATAATGCGCACATTAGATCTAAATAAAATTTATATTATTATTCTTTCTTAAAAAAGTTATCGTTTCGAAAGATAAAAAAAAAATTGTTTCACAAAAATAATTTGTTCCAAAAAAATTTTTTTTTACCATAAAAATTATTTGTCGCAAAAAAAAATGCGTGAACACTTTCTACACTACAGTTTCTATATTTTCCTAAAAATCAAAAATAAATGATAAATATAGTTTTTCCTAAAAAGTCCTGGAAAAAAAAATTTGCAACAGACAATTGGGGAAAGTATGTAATTCCAATTTTTGGTATTTTTTAAATATTTTTATACAACTTTGTCATAAAATTATAAAAACACAAAACAAACCCGGTAAAATTCATACAATATCCTTGTGAGGGGAGTACTTTTTGGGAAATATGATTTGGTTATATTTACCAAATCTTGTGTTGAGAGAATTATGTCAGTGCATCATATTACCACCTAAGACTTTCAAATTTTAAAACTTCTTCGAGTAATAAATCAGATGATATATTACTCTTAAGTACTAACAACTTCTATTTATCTGCATATATTAAGGCCAAATATGTAACTTATATCACTCTCTTTCTTCTTTCATTTCAGATCAAAAAGTCCAAGGATGGCGAGCTGAATTGAATTCACAGGCAGTTGGCTCACTTTCAGCTTGCGATTGGCGCATCCGCATGCAAACATGGATTGGACTCGGTGGCAATATACGTTTCTTTGGTGCATTTGCAATCCTGGGAGCATAATGTGGCTACCCATTTGATTTGCTAACTAACAGTTATACTGCCCAAAAGCGGCAGTCCACTATAAGAAAAAACAAGAAAAATATACATAGATCGCCAGTCAGTCAGTCAGTCAACCAATGTTCAAACAATCAATTCAGCTGCAATAGAAGTAAATTGAGACATTGATTGAAAAACACCAAAGGAATAAATGTGTTCGTATATCACACATAGTAGCGCATTGTCATTTACGTATCTACGTGCATATGTACTCGTAGCTCAGAATCGTGCATACACGCCATAATCACATACATACATACATACATAATCGCAAAAGTGCACCAAGTTCATAGACAGAGTGAGTGTAAAGCTATACGAAATACCCCAAGAATATAGCATTCGATATTGGAATAGCGCACCTAAACATCAACATCAACATCAACATCTCGACATCGACACTGTGTTCGTGATTTTTGATTGCACCAATTAGCCGTTATATATGGAATAATGTATAATCTCAATATTAACTGAGTCGAGTTTAAGCGAAAAAGTCAGCAAAAATAAAAACAAACAATACTCATATTGTAGCAATAATTTACGCCGATCTTCCCTATAACTTTTTATATGAATCGTTACGTATAAATAGTTAATGAACAATAAATTGCATTAAAAGCAAAGAAACATTAATAAAAAATAAATAAAATTGCATCACTAAGTTTTTAAGCGCATTCATTTATAAATACTCACACCACTTACCATTCAAGTGAGAATAACACATCTGTAAATGTCATCTCCAGCATCACCGTTTTAGCAACCAATTAGCAACGAATTAAGCGGAACACATAAATAGAAACAAACAACATAACAACTGAAGATCGACCACAGCAAACCAAAACTGCCGTAGAACAACTTAAACGAAAGTAATCTAAAAAAAAAAAAACACAGAAACTCCATAAGCAAACTCGCAATGATCGTCAGAATAGACTAAATAGTAAACTGTTGTACAAAGTAAAAGTTGCAACAACGGCATCGACACGCACAAATCGATTTCGGGGGACGGCATTGACGGCGAAAGTGTTGCTGGAGAACAACGTGCAAGCGCAGACGGAGCGAGGAGAGCAGAAGCTAAAACCTGCAGAGAAAGCAAACGAGTGCGAGCGCAAAACAAGTGTGCAAGCAACTACTATTTGCAACAACTCTAGAAAGAGTACTCGCAATAGGAGTAGCAACAAAAACAGAAGCGAAAACAGAAACAGAAACAGAAACAGAAACCGAAATAGAGATTGTATACGCGGCAGAAGGCAAAGTTGTAAACTAAGTGGAAGCGGGAGAACGAGAGGAAGCAAGCTACTAGTGAGCAGCAATAAAGTACCAGCACCTGGACGAATAACGAGTGACAAAGCAAGAAATTCTATAGAGAGCCATAGATAAAACACATGTAATTATTGCACAATTTTTCAATTTAAATCGTATTTTGACATATTAGTCAATTACTTAGAAGTAAGTAGTAAAATAGTTTTTAGTACGTGAAACGTATAAATAATAGCTCCCCTTAAACCTATGGATTCACAACCACTCAAATATCAAAATACTTAGTATCTATTTGATATAAAGAAAGGAAATGGAAAATATCGCTCGTTTTGCTGGAAACCCCTCTGAACTAAGAAATTCCAAAAATGGGAGAAATATGTGTACTGAGGTGAATCAAATCAGCCGTAGGGTCAAATGGGGCCTATCCGCCTTTTTAGGTAGTTGTAATGTTTATTTAAGATTAAAACAAATCAAAAAATAGAAATCACGAAATTGCAATTTAGAGAGATAACTGGTAAAAGAAATATTGGCAGTCAAATGACCCTTGTCTTTCCTTTTAATGGTACCTTTTACCAGAACGGATATTTTTGTTTTGCTTTGGAAAAATAATTAATAATGGGTTAAATGTTAAGAAGAAAATTTTACTAGGTGACACTCAAAATGAAAATCTTTTGTGGATAAAGAGTGAAGAGTATATACATAAATAATGTTTTGTGGAAACCTTTTGTAGAGAATAGGAAGTTTCCACTTAAAAAATTTTATGAGATGAAGCAAAATCCGCAGAGGGTGTCTTTAAATTAAAACGTTGCAGCCTAGTTTGCTTAAGGCCTTGAAACATGGATGGAAATTTTGTGCAGAAATGGATTCTTTATATAAGTTTAAGCACTTTCTTACGACACTACAGCAAAATGATTTTTGCCCTATAGTTTATTCGGAAAATTTGCTTAGAATAAAGCAGGGGCCACACGATTTTTACATTTGTAAGGAGTTGCACATTTTGGCAGGTACAGAGTGGTGTTATTCGGAAATGCTTTTATTGAGCTGAACTCAGATATTAACAACACCACTCTGTGACTAACACAATGTACAGATCTGTACAAATGTACAATTCGTGTGATCTTCGCTTTACACGTAGAATCTTTATGTGCTATATGTGCACAGTCAAAAAAATCTCCAATACAAATTGACCCGCCCTAACGAGAACTTAAGTAGATTAAGGAAATTGAACAACAATGCACTTACATCAAAGTTTTAGCTTAAATCACAAAAAACTAGCAAAAAGTAATAAGTGGTGAGGTGTTAATTTGATTTACCTTACAACAGCTTTAGGCTATAATTACCAGTTAATTAATTAATTAATTAGTCGCATATTATAATGTTATTACATACATATTGTACGCACGTTTGTTACCGTTGAACGCATTTCAATATTCATTCGCAATCGCCTCAAAGTACAGGCAACTTAAAAAAAAAAAATCTCAACTGCTGAAAACAGTTAGGAAAACAAAAATTGCGTGACATAACAGTTTTGCTGTGAAAATAGCTGATAAACATCATAATTGGTCGTAATAGTCGCGTTTGTGTAAATGGTAAACAAAACGTTATTACAACATTGGAACTGTTATCGCTGCCACCCAGCGCGATGGTGTTGCACACAAAGTTGCCATGTACATACATATTTACGTACGTATGTTGGTATGTAGTCAATTAAAATAACACTAATTCCATTACTGCCCTGCCATCGCATATTTGCGAGTGTGCGTGTGTATGCGCGCTGATGTGCGTGCATGCCCTGAAGTGGTAATGGGTTTTATTTTAATTATTTTTCTTTTTTTTTGTGAAACCGCGCAGCGCTGATATTTACGCTCGTAAAGGCTAATTGAGTCGGACAAACTACTCAACCGACCACTCGAACAACAAAGCCACAAAACAAAATAAAAAAAAAACACAAAAACAACAGGAGAAAACCATCGCTTAAACGCTCAACATTTGCAAAAACGTGTAACACTGAAAGGACACGCAAGTTCACGTGACGCTTGAACACAGACGTCCAAAGTTGAACGCCCAGCAAGCAAAGTTGTGTGTTTTTTTGTGTTTTGTTTTTATTTTCTTAAATTTTTCGCTAAAAAATTACGCTTACATTTCGTTTACATAAACTGAATATTGTAATTAGTTAATTGCTTGCTTATACTGTAAGCATATATTTGCATTAATTACGCGGAAAACTGCAAAAACCCGCAATTAGCTTATTTTAATTGAATTTTAAAATTCAAACTACTTCAAACACTCGTATAAATGTATAAACCGGAACCTCTCACTCGTCGCGGTAGTCTCAGATCCCTACGCAGCGCACCGCTACTTAGCACCGTTTTAGAGAGCACACTCTCACTTACACGCATCCATCCGATAACCTCCCTGGAATTGCCAGGACTTGATTATGCCGTTGAGACTCAGAGTGCCATAGCTGTCCACCATCGTGAATTGGGTACATCGTTGCGTAGTGGTATTGCAACTGTTGGCCAACCGGTGAGCCGTTTGGGACGAAGCGCTTCGATACGTCAACTACAAGGCGAATATAAGCGTAATATACCAGCAAAACGGTATGTATAAGTGGCGTAGATATATTTGGTACAGTTTTAAGTGATGTATTTTTTCGTACTATAGGAGGAAATATTTTTTAATAGCATTATTTTCTTAACATTTCCTCAAAAAATCTCTGAAAAGGGGTTAAAGTCGCATATAATTTTGGAAAAGGGTCAAAAAGTCTAAATTTTCAAAGGGTATTGACGCTTAATAAGGGTAAAATTTCCTCTTTAGTCGAACAATGGCAACACTGCCTGCAGTGCATAAGTTAATAATATTTTTAGGAAAATTTCGGGTATGCTCAGGTTTTGTAGCTCATTAAATTTAAGGATAATAAAGTGCAAGTTTCAAAAGACTACAAAACACCATTGATGTTTGGTTTTTTTTTTTGAAGGTGCTGCGCATTTTTTTTCGATATAACATTTTTTTCAAGCATACTTTGTATGGAAGGAATTGCATAACACTGTCAAAAAAATAAAATAAAAATTGTCAAAAAAGCAATGGTATTTTGTAGCCACTTGAAACTTGCACCCGATATTTTTCTAAAAATATTATTAATTAACTTTACTGACTTATGTACTGCAGGTCTTAAGCATAGCCACTCCTCTGTATGCATGTTTTTTTTTTTAATTTTTGTAAATCTAAAAATCCGGTTTACTAATCCGATATGCTACGTTTTGTTAAAAAATTAATAAACATTGAAGAAACAAAATGAAAACTATACATACTAAGGATAAAAAGGGCCTGCTAATCTTATGATTGGGAGTATTTGACCTGTTGCTCCTAAGTTAAATAGCCTATCTTTTTCTGACTCTAAATTTGTCAACAAACTTTTTTCAGGGTCCTCTCGTTGGAGAAAATTAGAGTCAAAAATCTAAAAATCAGCAAAAAGCGTAAACTTTAAAACCGGTTAGAAAAAAAAAACAAGCACAAAACAAGAGAATACAAACTTTAGTAAATTATCAGATTAAATATATTATTGAAAGATATTCTGTACTCTACTTAATATAGTGATACATATAAAATTTTTTTATCATTAACTGAACTGAACTTAAGGCCAGTTTTTTTAATATATATATTTTTTTTTTCTAACGACTTTTAAAAAGGAGAAGGTTATTGATTCGTCCTAATATTTGTTTTATCTATGTAAGCGGATAACTTTGGACCACCTGAGCTGTTTTCCATAAAGAAAGTTAGTACCCCAAGGATGGTCCCACACTAATTTGTTTTACTTTCGATCATTGGATCATGAATAAAGGAAGGGTATATGAATGAAGGGAAGGGAAATAATGAACCGAAATCAATGAATCTTTTGTTTTTTTTTTTTGGGAAGGAGATACCTTGGAGGTGGTCCCATACTAATTTTATTTAGTTCCATAATTGAATCAAGAAAAAACTAAATGTAATTTTAAATTTTTATGAACGTGAAAGCGATATTCAATGATTGAAGTCGTTTGTTTTTTTATTACTGCGTTTATCGGTTTCAACGCTGGTGTCTGCATTTTTAAAGGACTTTGAAAACTCAACGCAATTTAGAATAACAAAATGTGTACTTTATGAAAGAGGAAGTTCGGTAGAACAAAAAATATTAAATATTTAAGTGCAAACGGACGAATAGGCATTAAGGCATTATGGAATTCTTATTCTAAGCAATTTTAATGTAAATTTAAAAGATACTGAAATCTGTACTTAATTTTCAATTCCTTAGTAGTCATACATACAGCGCAGTAAATCAAAGTAATATTACTTAGTTCCCATAATGTTCAGCATAATTCAACTACTTACTTTTGAGTAGTGCTTTCAAGGGTACCTAAATTGCAAAACACAACTGCAACTCGAAAACCCGTTGCTCACTTAAATTTACTAATGATTACGAGTACCTTTCTAAATGGTTTCAGGCAAAAAACAGCGGTTCACCTTAGTCGTCAAATTCCAACGATGCAAATTAGATTCCCAAACTCTCCATAGTTCAATGCCTTCGCAGCGAAAAAGGCGGCGTTAAACTCCGGAAATAAAAAGTAGTTTATGCCTTTTAACCAAAAGCCACACTTCAATGTTAAATGCGTTAAGCGCTGTTCGTCGTTTTTTTTTTGTTTTTGTTTTTGCTTTGTAGTTTGTTGTGCATTTTCATTTGCATTTTTCTGCATATGTTGGCACAATTTAGAGCAGAGCACGCCCCCTCATACCTACATAGCACACTAACTGCCTACCGTTACGAAAAACTTTAACCGTCTCGGCAGTTACATAACACTCTTTAGCCTCTAATACACTTCAGCTTCTCAAGCGTTACGATGGGGTGAAGAGGAAAATGTTTACATCAAAAGGTACAAAATAAAATTAGACTTTCATGGTACGCGCCATCGCATAAAAAAGGCTAACGCGCGATGCAGGCACACTATTCCATATGTACATATGTATGTATGTAGCTAGCACACATATACAAACACGCACTCACAGGTACATACTACGTTACCTTGTGAGTGTTGCTAGCTGCGAATGGTGTTTGCGCACATTGCCAGCATCGCAGGCTTGACACGTTGAATT